GTATGTTTCTTTTACTGTGTTTGGTGATGGTGGTGGGAAGAAATCCAGAAAATTTTTTTAGGTGCCATGAAAAGGTACAGGTCTTAAGTACCTTGTACCTGTCAGTCAGATAGGATTTTTAATCAACATCTTTGATTGATGCAGCCTTCTTAAATTTTTGGGGTTTTTTTTATAAGTATCTTTTTCCTTTTTAAAAAAAAAAAAAGACTGTCTTTCTGACTCCTTGTGTAATTACCTGACATACCTACCAGCTACCCTTTTCTTCTTAAAATATGTGTGTAGTTACCTGTATCCACTTTTCTCTTGCTTATTTATAGAGGTCTACTTAATAATTTCAAAGTTTGTCCCCTTCAGTACAGAAATCATTGAACTATAGGGATATAAGGGCATAAATTCTAATAGGTTCAAAACTGATGGAAGACATCAGATTTTTCCAGAAGACACAGTCTTAGATTTGTTCTATAGATTACTTTTTATTTTGCTCTACTTTGTTTTTGAGGGTCTCACTATGTAGCCCCGGCTGGTCTGGAGTTCACCATCATCCTGCCTCTGCCTCCTGAGTGCTGGGATTACAGGTGACCATACCCAGCCTGAATTATTTTAAAGTTGTCTTTAGTATCTGTTCTCACCTCAATTGCTTGAGAATGATCTATGTGTTACTTTTATGGTACTAAAAATTAAATGAGTAATTATAGAAATATTTTAAGTTTGTATTCATTTAAATTTATTTTTTGGTGTGGTAAAAATGTAAACTTCCTTAACATATGAAATGTTTTATGAAAGATTTGATAATCACTTAGTTGCTAGTCTGATAGAGTAACTTGAGTAATTACCAGTATTGTTTTTGTTTTCTTCTCTTGATTCCAGACCCAGAATGAGATGGCCTCAACATTAAAGAAAGGTACTCAAGAAAGAAATGACAAAAAATATTCTCAAGGAAGCAGTACTAAGACATCATATCTGAGGAACGATGCTGAATTTAAAAAGATATTTGGTCTCACTAAAGATTTGAGAGTGTGCCTTACTCGAATTCCTGTCCATTTGGGCTCTGGAAAAGATTTTAGCAGTTTGGCAAAGAACAGAACTTACAAAGAAACGGAGTTTGTGGTAAAAGAACAAAAGCAGGTAATGGATTTTACAGTGTCCTTTGTAGGTATGACAAAGATGCATGGTTACATTGACCTTTTATTTGAGTTTTACTGTACATTCTTACATTAAAGAGTTACCTAAAGGAAATAAGTATAATGCAAAATGTGAGCATGCAGGTGTTTATTGCAGTATTAACTCTTTTTCAATGATATTTTATATATATGTATATATTTTTGTGCACTTCATACATCTTAATCATATGTAGACCCCCCTCCCCTATCTGAACTCCCCCATAGGCTGCCCACAAGATTTCATGCATTCTGTTATATATGTTAAGGTGATTGAAGCAAGTTTGTGTCCCCAGGTGTCCCTTGGTTCATTTTAAGCACCATATATAGTCAAAAATAAAAAAATTTTTTTCACTATAACTTTACCTACTGTAATTCTGCTTATGAACATTATCATCTAGTATTCTAAACTTTAACTATTTCTGTTAACATTTCCCAATGAAATGTTTCTACATGTGCCTACTGTACAAATGAAAAGAAAAAATTAATCAGTTGTATTTCTCAGGCCCTTTAGGTACTATTTCATTTTGGTCTAATACTTTGTTTAAGCAGGGAAGTATGAATAAACCAGCTTATTCTCAGTGACTTAGATTAGGGCTTTTCTATTAATTTTGATAAGGCATGTCTTTTCTATAGTTTTCTCCAGTAAATTGTGTGGAATTGAATTTAATTGCTAATTAATTTGTCTGGTATTGTAATAACATTCTTTTTTTTTAAATGTTACCATTGCAACAGATTTTTGCTAACAAAAGAAAAGCAAAAGCTGATAAGAAGATGAATTACACAAAAAGGAGAAAATCTGAGAGTGCTGTTGACATGGTCATAACTGGAATTAATGTTACCAGTTCCCAACTCCTTAATAGTGTTTTCCCAGCATCAGACATCTCACAGCATAACATTGTCACAAGCCACAGCAAAGCCATAGAAGAAAAGAGAACTGAGGTAGAGCACTGTTCTCGTGAAAAGCAGGAGAAAGTCACATTGAGTTCAAATACATCTTTTGAACAAAGTAATTCTTTTAATAAAAACTATACTGAAGATATTTTCCCAGTGCCACCACCAGAATTAGAAGAAACCATCAGAGATGAAAAAATAAGAAGACTTAAGCAGGTTCTAAGAGAGAAAGAAGCAGCTCTTGAAGAAATGCGTAAGAAGATGCACCAAAAACAATAAAATTCTTGTACTTAAAGACTTCAGTGAAATAGCTGTTTTATAAATAGGCTTTTGTATTAATGCTGTGGTTCCCTCTCACCTGTCAGGGGATAGATTCAAAATGCCCCCAGTGGATGTTTGAAACTGGAGATATTACCAAGTCTTGTAAACAACCATTGTACTTCATGACATTTGTTCTGATAACCCCAGGCATCTACTTAGATGAATAACGGGCAAATAGTATATACCGAATGAAGGGATAACTGATGTCCTGAGCAGGACAGTTTGAGATTTTGTTGTACTGCTCAGAATGACATATAATTCAATACTAATTCTTCCTTTCTGGAGTTTCTCAATACTTTAGACAGCAATTTATCATGGGTAACTGAAGCCACAGAAAACAAGCTACACATCACAAGAAACTACTATAAATTATAGAGGCACTTTGAAAGTGTCTTTGTATATGAAACTTGTTTTTTCATACGTTGATTAAAATTTTTTGTTTAAGGAACACAGAAGAGGTTTACTCATGACATGAATAATCGACATAGAGAGTCTTAGTCTTAGATACTCTTTTGGAAGGAAATATTTTATATTTTTCTATGAGCTGAAATACCTTGTTTGAATATTTTGTATAGGGCTTCTGTTGATGTTCTCTCTTCAAGTAAATTGCTCAGGTCTTACTCTAACAAGAAATACAGTGTCCTACTGAAATTCCACTATCCAAGATAGGAAGTCAGCTGAAAGCTTAAACCACTGAGTTTGTATATATGCTCCCTTGCTCTCCTTACCCATAAAATGATACCATCTACTTACTATTGTTGATATTTTTATTTCAGCAAAGAAAATGTACTATAAAAATTTATTTAAATGCTCAAATATTTTTCAAAAGTAAAGGACACGTTTTTTTTTTTTTTTACACATCTGCAATATCCTTAAAAAGTTTGGAATTTAGGCCATTTCATTATATATTTTTGGCTTAAAAATGAGGTGATGGGGCTGGAAAGATGACAGCAGTTAAGAGCACTTTCTGTTCTTCCAGAACATCTAAGTTAGATTCCCAGCGCCCATGTGCTGGGCAGTTCACACCTGTAACTCCAGTTCCAGGGGATGTGATGTCCCCTTATGGCCTCTGCAGGCACCCATCACACATGTGACATACACTCAAAACACACATAGATAAAAAATATATATATATTTTAAGTTTGTGTGTTATTAGGTAGCAGGTCCTATTTTTGGTGTATGTACACATGTTATATAGGTCGTATGAAAGGTAGATCCAAACAGTGGTTAATGTAAGACTTCTCAAACCACAGTTTTTCCTAAGAAGCATTCTTTTATCTCATTAATCTTTGACTTTGGAAAGTTTGAGTATAGTGAAGGCATAGGGAATAAAAGCAAATAAGCTCATTTAAAAATCATAAATCTCTGGAAACAAAAGAGATTATAAAACTAATGGTAACTAAAGAAAACCACAAATCAGACTATTAAACAGGAGGAAAAAAAAAACAATTACATTCTGCTTTTTGTAGTAATAGCTTTATTGAAGTATAACTTGCATACTATACAATTCACCCTTCTAAATTATATTCAAAAGTATGCAAATATCAATATCTAATTTTAACACTTAACCCCCACCAAATCATGTATGTGTTAGCAGTCACCCCATTCATTATCCTCTCTGCCTAAGCAACACTCTGCTTCAATGGAATTGCCTGTTGTGATCATTTCATATACATGGAATCAAACAATATATTTTGGTTTTGAGTGTTTTATGCATGGCCTAATGTATGCAAGATTGATTCATCTTGTAGCATGTATCATTTCTTAGCTGCTTGTAGCCCAGTAATTCATTGTATGAATATGCAGCCATCTATTTCTGGAAGACTTAGTCTAAAACAATCCATGGATATCAAAATTCATGTACAAGTCTCAGACATTTAACCTACTCACATCCTCTTTTGTATTTTATTTCTTGATTAATTGTAATGCCTTACACATATGTATATAATTTTTGAAGTGTTTTATTTAGGCAATAAGAAGAAGTTTGTTATGTGTTTATGGCAGACATTTTCCTGCATTTTTAATGCATGGTTGGTTGTAGAACTTACAGATTGAGTGGACTAATTTTTGTTTATCCATTTAATATGTACATTTAGTTTGTTTCCACTATTTGCTACTAACATTGCTATGAATGTTTGTGTACAAGATTTTCTGCGAACATATATTTTAATTATGTTGAGTCTCTACCTATGTGTGTAATTGCTGAGCCACAACAGTAACATTGTACTTAACATTTTGAGGCATTATCAAAGTAAACAAATCAGGTTTTGTACCTCCTCTAATATTGGTGTTGTCAAGGCCACTAATGACTTTCATGTTGCTCCATTCCAGGATAATGTCTTTAAAACTTACCAGCAAGGTAGGAGTGCAAACTGGTACCACCACTATGAGAGTCAGTGTGCAGATTCCTCAAAAAGCTAGAAATGGATATGCTATATTGGGCTGGAGGGATAGCTTGGCTGTTAAAGGCTCAGGCTAACAACCAAAAAGAAAAGAAATAGATATACTATATGATTCAGCTGTTCCATTCTTGGGCATATACCCAAAGGATTCTGTATCCTACTATAGAGATACCTGTTCATCTGTGTTCATTGCTACTGTATTCACAATAACCAGGAAATGGAAACAACCTAGATACCAATCAACTAATGAATGGGTAATGAAAGTATGGTACATTTACACAATGGAATGTTACTGAGCTATTAAGAAAAATGGAATTGTGATATTCACAGGTAAATGGATGAAACTGCAAACAGACATCGTGAGTGAAGTAACTGAGCAGAAAGACAAACATTGCATGTTCTCTCATAAGTAGATGCTAGCTCTGAATTCTTAGCTATATATGCTTGTTTCAGTTGGAAAATCCATAGAGGTCAGGAAAGTTACCATGGGTGGAAGATTCATGGGTGCAAAGATAGAATGCACTGATATAAAGGGGGAAGGGGAATAACAGAGTAGGAAGGGTTAAATGGGGTGAGGAATGGGAGTGCAGGGCAGAGGAGAGAGTATGGGGAGAGATAACTAACACTAAAGGCCTTTAAAAAAAAAGTCATATGGAAAACTACCACTGTAGAAGCTTTTAAAACTATTTACAGACACAGTATTTAAAGAATTTACCCTATAATAGGGAAATTGCCACTACAAGACACCATAAGCATGAAAGAAAAACCCTAATGCCAGGAATAGATTCCCTCATGTGAAGCTGTTGACCAGAGGTCCAATAGACCCTCAAATAGTACTGGCCATTGCCCCTACTCTTGATTACCTACCAGAACTTGGTAAGACCCAATTACTGAATATACTACATATGTGAGTTGTAGAACGAACAAGGAGAAACAGTTGGTACTGACTTAAAAACTTCATCTCTACTGGCTAGGTTTCATAAAGTGCTGGTTGATATTATGCATGTTAACAGAAGAGAAGATCAACCTTATCCAGCTGTGAATCCTGTATGCTTCAACAACTGCCCTGGCATGATATGCCCACTGGTGAAACAATGGCATGAGTATTACAAGAGTAGTCAACCACTTTCTGATTGGATTCAAGATCTGCTTCATGGGCCTGGAGAACTGGCTCAGTGATTAAGAGCACTGACTGCTCTTGCAGAGGTCCCAGGTTCGATTCTGAGCACCCACATGGTGGGTAACAGTCGTCTGTAACTCCAGTTCCAAGCGAACCCAACACCCTCTTCTGACCTTGCATTGCACAACACAGGTGCACCTACATACATAACAGGCAATACACTCACACGTATAATAAAAATATAAACTACTTTAAAAAAAAAAAAAAAAGATGCTTTACAAAATGGAGCCCATACCTGACATATCAGGCTTAGGAACCTGTGGATAAACAGGTTACAGACCACGGGGGAAGCATACTACTGTTCTACTAAACCCACAGTAATAAAGTGACTCCAATGATTTGTTGTTTATACACATACATTAATGCATCTCTCAACTCTTCATCAGAGAAGCTTCCTTGTGTAGCAGGTGGTGATTAACACAGAAACCCACAACAGGCCAACATGCAGAGAATAAGAGACTGCAGAGTTCTTATCCCTAAATAGGATACCAATATTAAACTTCTGCCTCCCAAGGCTCAGGAATTGTGGAAGAGGGGACAGAAAGATTTTAAGAGCCACAAGTGGTGAATGACCACAAGGAAATAATGAGAGCTGGAACTCAGCAATGACAGCAGCATGCACAAGTACTGTGTGCAAACTCAAAGCAGACAAAATCCCAACATAGAAGAGTGGGGATGGATAAGAAACCCCAACCCTAGCTGAGAAACTACCATTAACTGATGGCCCCCTCATGCTCCCCCCGGGGGGGGCAGTCTTTTTGAAAAAAAATACATGTATCAGTGTTTTGCCTGCATGTATTTAAGCCCACCTGAGCTATGCAATGCCCACGGAAGCCAGAAGAGGGCATCTGATCACCTCTAACTGGAATTACTGAGTGTAGTTAGCATATGGATCATATGTGGGTGCTAAGAACTGAACCTGGGTCCTCTGCAAGACCAGCCAATGTTCTTAACCATTGAGCTATTTCTTCAGCCCATCTTTATGAGTGTGACTGTGTAGTTTTAAATGGCTCCAATGGGTGGACCTGTACTGAAGGGGATTTGTGGACACAAATTTGATTTTGTGGACACAAATTTGATGTGATGGTTTCTCTCTCTCTCTCTCTCTCTCTCTCTCTCTCTCTCTCTCTCTCATCTCTCTCTCTCCCATCTCTCTCTCGCAGGTGGTTTCAAGGGTGGATGCAGATGTGAGGGGGTGGTTTAAATATGATCAAAATATATGAACTTTGTAAATTCAATTTAAAAAATAGAATATAATTTAATTACTCATTAACCTCCTTTGATAAATGTTTAACACATTTTAAAGAAGTAATGCATATTGTAGAAAATACAAGTAAAATATTAAAAATTAAAATTTTATGCTTCCATTGAGAGTTAACAACTTGAGGCAGTGAACACCTTCATGTGCCTCCTTTCCAATCTTTTCTCCCACATACATGTAAATATTTTTAGCAGAATAAGGTCCTTATTT